ATCAGCCTGAGATTACTGGGACATTACAGTTGGAGAAGATCAGGAGTAGCAGATAATCACGGAATTGTTGGAGTTGGAAGGGACCTCTAGAGATCATCTAGTCCAACTCCCCTGCTAAAGCAGGATTGCCCAGAGCACATCACTCAGGACTGCATCCAGGTGGGTCTTGAAGATCTCCAGAGATGGGGACTCCACGACCTCCCTGGGCAGCCTGTCCCGGGGCTCTGGCACCCTCACCGGAAAGAAGTTCTTCCTCATATTTGCATGGAAGTTCCCATGTTCCAGCTTGTGCCCATTGCCCCTCGTCCTGTCACTGGGAACCACTGAAAAGAGTCCGGCTCCATCCTCCCTCAAACTGCCCTTTAGATACTTATAAGCATTGATGAGGTCTCCCCTCAGCCTTCTCTTCTCCAGGCTAAAGAGTCCCAGCTCTTTGAGCCTTTCCTCCTAAGGGAGATGCTCCAATCCCTTAATCATCTTAAACCAAGTAGATGTTTTGGGGATTTTTCCCCCCCCAAGAGAGGAATACGAAAGAAAGGGAAGAGGCCATGGTAACTATTGACAACTGAGTACCAGCAGCTAATCTCAGTGAGGACTGGATCAGGCCTTAAATGTCTGCTGGCTAAAGAAATGCTGCAGAAGTAAGGGTGGTGGTCACTTTTAAGTGGCATGGATGCTGGGAAACTTCAGCTTTCCCTTCTCCTGTCACTGGCCCCAGGGAGGGCTAGCTGGACCTTAGCTGGCTTTTAACCTTCTCAAGCAGACTGGACGCCCAGAGTCAGGCTGCCCATCCTGGAGCTTGATTTGCTGTTGAGCAGCAGCTGAAGTGGGAAGACCCTACAGCCCTGCTATGGATTTGGAGGCACCTCCCAGACTTCCTTGTCTCCCTGGAAATTGCCTTCCTGCTGTTGGGACATGTGCTGGGTGTACCTTTGTGCGCAGCCCTGGCCTGTGCAAGCCTTTGGGGCACATGAATCATTTGTCATTTATAGTCTTGGCCAAGCCCCCAAACACTGTCCCAGACTACTTGGTCCTGTTCCCGCTTCCTCTGCTTCTGCTGCCATCTAGGAAAGTTTATTTTCTCAGACCCTCAATCTAACGCACAATGCTACCCCAAGCCAGGGACAAACACTCACATGATTTTCCAGGAGAGACCAAGGGTGTAAAGTTGGTAAAACTTGAGTGCCTCTTGTGTGAGATGGACTTGATTCCAGTTTTGTGACCCATGAGGAGTTGCTCCATGCTACAGACTGGGAAGGAAGAGTCCAGTTCTGGGCTCCCCAGTTCAAGAAGGACCAGCAACTGCTGGAGAGGGTACAGCAGAGGGCTACAAAGATGATTAGGGGCCTGGAGCATCTCCCTTATGAGGAAGGGCTGAGGGCCTTGGATCCTTTTAGTCTGCAGAAGAGAAGGCTGAGGGGGGATCTGATCAATGGTTATAAATACTTAAAGGGTGGGTGTCAAGAGGACGGGGACTGTCCTTTTTCAGTGGTGCCCAGGGATAGGACAAAAGGAAATGGGCACAACCTTGAATATAAGAAGTTTCACCTAAACATGAGGAGGAACTTCTTTACTTTGAGGGTGGCAGAGCCCTGGAAGAGGCTGCCCAGAGAGGTGGTGGAGTCTCCTTCTCTGGAGACATTCAAAACCCACCTGGACACGTTCTGGTGAAATCTGCTCTGGGTGGACCTGCTTTGGCAGGGGGGTTGGACTAGATGATCTTTGGAGGTCCCTTCCAACCCCATATCATTCTGTGAGAGAGATGATCTGCATCCTTCAGTAGAAGAGGAGCTGGAGCCCATGATCTCCTGGCTGCCTGTGCAGGCCAGTCCACCTTTGGCAAGGGGAATTACTTGAAGCTGGGGGGAGGGAGGAGGAGGAGCAGGATCCATTTTGGATCCCGTAGTGGGGATGCCTGTTGAGTGTGCGTTGCTCACAGGAGACTGCACCAGGGCTTACCCGAGAATATGGAGGGGTTTGGGCAGCAAGCCAAACCAGGCTGGGTTGTACGAAACACAAACAGAAAATAGCAGTTCGCGGTGCCTCGTAACTCCGGCAAACCTGTAAAGGGCTTCATGGGGCCAGGAAAAGGTTATCCCTCCGATGGCAGCCCTGCCAAAAACCTGATTTCCTTTCCAAAACCGCAGAGCCCTAATAACTCTTCATAGACATTTACAGGGATCTTGGGTGACAGGAGGAGTTTAGGTGTAACTTCGTTAATTGTTTAGGCTCACGTTGCAGGTTTTTATTTTACAGACGTTAGAATTGGAAGGTGGTGGTGTGATCCTCTCATCTGGCCTCCGACGTCACCCTTGCTGTACGGAGCCTGATCACCTGCGTGTCAGTTCTGCCTTGTGTTTTAGGAAAGTCCTTGCTCTCTGAAGTGATAGAAACTTCTGCCCCAGTGGTTAATGATGTCTACCGAAACATTCCTATTAGTTTCTGGCTTTGTGCAGTGCTGCGTATTCAGTGGTTGACATAAGTCCCGAGTTGATACTTCTTTTTAAAAAGGGAATTTTCAGTATGTGGTTGGCTGCATGTTATCTCTCTGGACAGAAGACTGTAGTTGTCATTGCAGGGTTACTGGAAAGCTGAAGTGAGACCTGTGCGCTGCGTGATGACGTTGGGTTCTTTGGTGTGGGAGGTGTGGGTGGCATCCCTGGGGAATGTACAGAGCGGCGACGTGTTGGTAATGGGCTGCTGCTTCTCTGTCTTCAGAGCCGAGCAGCTGATACTTGAAGGTTGCTAAGGTGGCGTGTGGTGTTGGGGTTGAGTTAAATTAGGATCGCCTTACTTACGGTGTGCTTTTCATGTCAGAAGTGTTAATTCTAGATGCTTATCTACAACAGCGTCGGTGTAACTGGCTGCATTAGCAACCAAAGGCCAATGTATGGCAGAAATGTAAGCCTGTAAAACACGTCAGCTGGTGGGGATTAGGAAAGTGCTCTGCCTCCATTAGGTCAGTTATAAACCATCACGAGCTATTTTTCTATTAAAGAAGAGGTCTCAGTTAATGAATTGTTGTGTGTGGGAATTAATGCTGGATGAGTCCCCTGTGGCTTTCATGATGAGGGTCAAATAAAATATTAATGAAATTAAAACAAACAGTCCCTTGCTCATCCCAAGTATCTTCCGGATGGGTTTCTCTAAGCATTGGTCAGGGAAGATGTGGACCTTCACAAGAGACAGGCCAGTGTCATTACTCCCTTTTCCCAGGTAGGGAGATGGAGGCAGTGGAAAGCAGTGATTCCAGGGCCTCATATTCCAGCCGCAGGGCTGCACGGGAGGTCCAGGAATTTTCCTGTCTGGTACCTTTGCTCTGATCCCTGGTTTCAGCTCCCTTCTCAGAGAAATGAAAGTGCATCCAGACTGCTTCTACACTGGCCGGCTGGAAGTTGATCATTCCAGGTCTGGGATGGCCTTTAGGAGTCCCGAATCTCAAGTCTGAGACACTTACTCACAAAACTTCCCCGTGCTTCCAGATCAGAATAAGACCCAGGAGATGTGGATCTTTTCTCCTGATGCCTCATCCACAGGGCACATCTCCTTCTTTTGTAGGTTGTCCATTCTAGAGGCCGAGTGTAGGAGCTCAAATGACAGGCTGGGGAAGGATAGTCTCTTTTTGGGGAAGGACAGTCTCTTTTTGGTTACAGCTGTGCAGTACAGTGCAGTGCAAAAGATCTTGAGCTGGATGGAGCCGAGCAAACTAGCTTCAGGAGCAGCATCCCTGAATCACCTCAGACCAGTTCCCAGTCATGGTGCTTTTGTACTCCAGACTCTAGGAATTGTGTGGCATAACAGGGTGTTAAATATCTGCAGCGCTGTCGGACATAGTGCAAAGCTGTAAATTCAGAGTGACCTCAGAAACCTTCCTGGTGGTGCAAAGCGTAAGGGTGTACGGTGTGTCGCTGGGCATGACTCTGAGGTGGTACACTGGGAGAAGGAGACCTGGGCAGGCACTCCAAGCTAAACAGCGTTGATGCTGTTTGCGTCGTGCAAAATCAAAGCTAAATGTGTTTTCTCGCACCTTTTTGTGTGTCTTGGACACCGAACAGCCTAAACAAGACTTGTCACATAGTGTGTGCTGGTGCAGATGCTCTGGAGAGGGCAGGGCGGCACAGTATCCCTTCCTGCGCTGACAACAAATGCAAAGAAGAACTTAGGAAGTCAGAAAAGTTGTCATTAGGAACATTTTAAAGCACTTTCCCATTATTTTCTTTTTCCGCTCTGTCTCTGAAGATCAAATAAACAAGGAAAGGGAAGTACTTAAATTATTTCAGAGGGCAATCAAAATAGTGATAACCATTCCTCCCTGCTTCCTCCAAAAATTTTTTTGAGGGCTGTCTGCCTCGCATCATGTGGGTGTCACTCCTAGAAATCAGATGTGGCAGTGGCCAAGTCTTTTTCCCTTTCTGCTGGGAAAATTTATTGCAGTTTTGGTAAAGATCTTTGCATCAGTAAATAATGATTAAGGAAGCAGTATTGATTTTGTCATATTGGAGCACCTCTGCTACGAGGACAGGCTGAGGGAGCTGGGGTTGTTCAGCCTGGAGAAGAGGAGGCTCCGGGGACACCTAATGGCAGCCTTCCAGTACCCGAAGGGGGCCTACAGGAAGGCTGGGGAGAACCTGTTTAGAAAGGCCTGTAGTGACAGGACGAAGGGAAATGGCTTCAAGCTGGAGGGGAACAGATTTAGACTGGAGATTAGGAGAGGGTTCTTCACTGTGAGGGTGGTGGAGCACTGGAACAGGTTGCCCAGGGAGGTGGTTGAGGCCCCATCCCTGGAGATATTCAAGGTGAGGCTCGACGAGGCCCTGGGCAACCTGGTCTAGTTGGGGGTGTCCCTGCTGACTGCGGGGAGGTCGGACTAGATGACCTTTGGAGGTCCCTTCCGGCCTGGGCAATTCTATGATTCTATGATTCTATATTTCTGTAGGAGACCACAAAAGGATGTCCCGCTCACCCTTTCTCCCCTCTTCATCTCCTTGTCTGCCTTTCAGGATTCACTGGGAACTCGTTGTGTTGCTTGTGTAAGCCCTCCTTGCAGAAGAACTGCTCTTGCCCGTCTCCACCTCCCCGGGAACAGCCGAAGGGGGGTGCGGCGTGATAAAAATTTATGTTTTCATCAAACCGGGCCAAGGAGAATGGGGGTCCCACACCCAAAAGAATGAAGACACGACAGAACAAGGACTCAGTACGTGAGATGGGAGAGGTGGGGTGGGACGTTGGAGCTTGGGGTGGGTTGGAACTGCGGCTCACAGCAAAGCTCGTGGACGTGAGTTTGGCGTAGTGGAGTGCCAGGAGTTTGGGGGCTTTGAGAGGCTGGGGACAGGGCAGGAGTTGGAGGGAGATGCAAAACAGGACTGATCCAGTGCTCCCTCTCTTAGATGTCAATGCGGAGTGGACGGAAGAAAGAGACTCCAGGGCCCCGAGAGGAGCTCAGGTCACGGGGTAGAGCTTCCCCAGGGGGAGTCAGCACCTCCAGCAGCGATGGCAAGGCTGAGAAATCCCGACAAGCGACAAAGGTAGTATAAGCTCATATGCAAGTGTGGGGTGCCCACGGACTCCCTAGACTGGGTAGGATCTGTTTGGGGATCCAGGGATGCAGACCAGAAGGGATCCACTGAGGAACCCATGCTGGGCTAGCTCTCTGGAATGGGTAGAATCCCTCTTTCCTCTCATTCTCAGCATCTTGCACTTCCCATCATCTCCCAAGAACCAGTCTTTGGTCTCACCAACCCTGTTTAGTGCTATTTTTTGCCATATTCTGGCTCAATGTTGCACTGCTAAGCTCTTCCACAGGCACTGTCACTGTGGTGACAGCGTCTCACCTGCTGCAGCCTGTGAAGGTCTCCCAGGGTGGGAAGTTTCCTTGTGACTCCCCCGCCTCCCTGTTCTCCTCCTTTGCCTTGCAGAAGGGTCGGGTGGAGGAATCCTGCACCCCCAAGGGCAGCAAGCAAAGCCGAACAGAAGAGATCTCGGAGAGTGAAGGGGAGGACACCAACGCTCCCAAAAAAACCAAAACTGAGGTGAGTTGCCTCCGCTGTGGTTGCTGGTGTGTCCTGGTCCAGGTCAAAGGAGTCTCTTGTTCCCTACCTGTGCTGCTCACACCTCCCTGGCTTGAGGTTCCCACTGCTCGGGAGCCCTGGCACCTCGAGTTCTGCACTGCAGCTCTTCCAACCTAAATGGCATCTGCCTGGCTACCACCAGGAGTGACAGCTGAGCAGACGGAGGCTCTCTGTCTCTTTTGCCATGTCTGGAGGGGACTGCCCTGCCCTCAGAGCCAGGCACATGCTCTGCCAGGCTCTGCTGAGTGGCAAGAGCTTGGCTCTGCATGCAGCTGCTGGTCAGGTTAGACTCAGCCTCTTTTGCTCCCCTAGAGCAGAGAGAAGCGGAGGTGCTTAAGTCGTGGTGGAGTCTGGGTGATGCCTGTGCAAAACCTGCTCAGGATTGTGCTCTGCATGGTTGTGGAAGGGCTTTTCCAAAATGACAGCAACATTGGGCTGGGTCGGTGGTCAGATGGTTGGAGGAAGACTCGGCTCTTGCTCTTCTAAGTTCCTCGTTAGCCAGTTCAGGGAACTGGCCTTAAAGGCCTGCAAACATGGGGATATTTGCTCATGTTATGAGGTCACTGGAGTTAAACCACTTTGGTTACACATTTCTCCATGTGGACACTCCATTCAGCACAACAGTGGTCTCTTTTTCAGTTTAGCTCTCCTGTAAGCCCCAAGGCTCAAGAGTGGCACTGATTTAATGTCCATGGCTCAAGGCGAGAGGTGGTGGGGAGGAGCAGGGATTGGGAATCACAGGGAGGGCTCTGGAAGGTGAGGAGTGGGGCAGTGAGAAGGTGCTGGAGAGGAGCAGGTCTCATCACCCAGGGAGAGCTCTTCAGGGACAAGAAAAGCGATTCTGGGTCTCCGGACTGTGCTGGCTGCATTGTGGTGCCTGCTGCTCCGTGCCACCTGCTGGTATTGTGCCCTGGCCAATAGCCCATCACTGGTGGTGGTGGTGCTAGGACCTTTCTTACCTATTAACTCATCTGTAACAGTTCCCTGCCCTCCCTCGTTGCCTCTGTACACAAGGTACCCATCATCACCTCCTTCCCGAGTGTGGGGTGCTCATCAAGAACCTGAGAGCACTGGAGGGGAGGCAGGAGGACCGGTGTTACTCATACTTTGCCAATTGAGGTCTCCTTCCCTCTTTGGGGTTTTCTAGTGCTGGGGCTGGCAGAGAAAGGTCAGAAAGCAAGTTCTCTGGGAAGTTGAAATGTGTTGTGCATGGTCTGGGAGGCCACATAATGCCTTTCTCCTCCTTCCTGCTTCAGGAGTTGCCCTGTCCTCCATCCCCGTCCGATGTTGACAGCCTTGACGGCCACAGCTTCAACGATGAGATGAGCAGTGACCCACGGGACATTGACCAGGATAACAGGAGCACCTCACCCAGCGTCTACAGCCCTGGCAGCGTGGAGAATGACTCCGACTCCTCCTCCGTGCTGTCCCAGGGGCCGTCTCACTCCTACCACCACCCTCCGCTCTTCCCCCAGAGCCCACCAGTAGCTCCTCCGCCCGACAGCCTGGCCCGTCCACCCGAGCCCAGCTTTGGGCTCCCGGGTGAGGTGCACCCCCAGGGACCCCCGGCAGGGAGCTACCACTCCCAGCTGGAGGGCCAGGCTTCCCGCATCTTCCAGGCTCAAGCCCCGCAAACACCCGCTGCCTCCTCCTCCTCCTCCTCTGCTGTTGCTGCCCCTTCTGCTCCCCCTTCCTCCTCCTCCTCTTCCTCCTCTTCCTCCTCCTCCTCTACTCATGCTTCTCTTTACCCGACGGCCAACGTGGTCCAGGTCGGGGCCAAAATTGCCAGTGGAGTGGGGGGTCTCCCCGCACCAGGGGGTCGCGAGCAGACCCTCAGCGCCAAGCACAATCCGCCACCCACCACCCCTATCTCGCTGGCGTCGGTGGCTGGGGGTCTCCCCCCTCAAAAGACACCCCCCGCCAACCCTCCGGCTGCCCCCCCAGCTTCGGCCCCTTCCTTCCCCCACGTCTCTGCCAATC